GTACAAGAATACATGGTGAGCTCCAATCACTTTTACTAGGTTCAACAATGTCATTGTCCAACATGTACTGCACTTCCCTTCTTAGGTACTGCAATTTTATTGGATTAAGACGGTACGGATGTTGTTTGATAGGCAGAACGTCACTCACTATGACATCATGACAAGCTGCATTAGTTTTCTTTGGAACATCCGAAAAGATTTGATGATACTCATTTATCAAGTTTTTAACTTGTTCTTTTTGGTGAATGTTCAAATGTCCAAGTTTGGCATCAAAATCAGCCAAAATTTCTGAGTTTTTCAAGCGGACACTCTGATTACAATCTTTCTCATTCATTTCTTTACTCGTATCACTTTCAATACAATTTTGAACAGTCTTAGCATTGGCTAAATTGGAAACTGGTTTTACAGAATTTCGGTCACACCTTTCAAAATACTCTTTCAACATGTTAATGTGACAAACCCGTTTCTCTTTACGTCGACCTGGTGTCTTAACTACATAGTTTACATCACTGATCTTGCTTTCAATTTCATGAGGGCCATAAAATCTTACCTGTAAAGGATGACCAGGAATAGGTAAAAATACAAGAACCTTATCACCTGGCTTAAACACCCTATTTCTGGCATCTTTGTCATACCACATTTTCATTTTCATCTGAGAATTCTTCAAATTTTCTTGTTCTAATTTACAAGCATTGTAAAGTTTTTCTTTGAAATCAGACACATAATCTAAAAGATTAAGATCACTAGTCTCAGTCAGCCACTTTTCCTTTAACAATTTCAAAGGACCCCTAACCGTATGACCAAACACCAATTCAAAAGGACTAAACCCAAGAGACTCCTGGACTGCCTCTCGTGCAGCAAATAGTACAAGATGAACCCCTTCATCCCAGTCTTTCTCATACTGGTAACAATAGGTCTTCAGCATTGTTTTTAGGGTTTGATGAAAACGTTCTAGCGCTCCCTGGGACTCAGGATGATAAGCAGTTGATCTATATTGCCTTATACCCAACTCATGCATGACTTGCTGGAACAACCCAGACATAAAATTTGACCCTTGATCCGACTGAATTGCCTTAGGTGCTCCTACAAAACTGAAAAACTTGGTTAGGGCCTTAACTATGCTCTTTGCCTTTATATTCCTTAGAGGTATGGCTTCAGGAAATCGAGTGGATGTACACATAATGGTAAGTAAATACTGGTTCCCATATCTAGTCCTAGGCAAAGGTCCTACACAATCCACCAACACTCGACTAAACGGTTCTTCAAAAGCTGGAATGGGTTGAAGAGGAGCAGATGGTATCTTCTGATTTGGTTTACCTACCATCTGACAGACATGGCATGACTTGCAAAACTTCGAAACATCCTTTCTTAGCTTAGGCCAATAAAAATGACTCAAAATCCTATTATAAGTCTTATTGATACCTAAATGACCAGCCATAGGTGTATCGTGAGCTAAACTCATGACATCTCGACGATAAGCAGCTGGGACCACTATCTGGTGAACAACACGCCACACTTCATCTGGAAAAGCGTCAGGTGGTCGCCATTTTCGCATAAGGATGCCATCTTTCATATAGAAGCATTCTCCAACTTTAGTAGCCTCTTCTGGTGGAAGTGCCCTCTTACTAAGTTGAATGATATCTGGGTCTTTATGTTGTTCAGAGAGTAAACGTTCTCGGCTGAGGATGTCCTTGCCTTGGCTAACTAGTGGATGCAACTCATCATCCTCACCACCAAATTTTGGTAAAAGTTCTTTCTTCTTTTGCTTCTTTATATTGTGCGGTTCCATGCTTGTTTGAGTGCCATCAAGGTCAGATAAGAAAGTGTCATTCAAATCAATATCAACAGAGGAATTCGTCTCGTCAAAGGCTTGAGTATGGTCTGCCTCCATTTCTCGTCTTCTGGCCATCGCTCTAGTAACAGCACAGGCTGGATAAATGTCATCATCTTCATCATCGCACATGACATTGGAAGTGATTTTCTCACAAACTATAGGATCAGGTACAACCTTCCCACCAGCTAGATCGTTGCCTAACAACAAAGAAATGCCTGGAACGGGAAGAGTAGGTCGAACATCTACGATAACAGGTCCAGTAACTATATCTGACTTCAAACTAATTCTATGCAGGGGAACATCAATGGCGCTTAGCTCCACACCCTGTAATAAAACTGACCCACCAGTAGAAGTCTGCTTAGACAAAGGAAGCACGCCCTCTAATAACAAAGTCTGGGCAGCACCAGTATCTCTCAAAATCTGGACAGGTTTAATTTCGCTATAGTCACCGAGTGAAACAAATCCCTGAGACATAAAGGGCTTATACTCCTCCATAGAATCAATAGAACTGGACTGTGAACCCTGGACATCAGGAGTGTCAGAACAAATCGAAACTAAGGCTTCTCTATCACCTCTAACTGCCGCACAAGCGTGTGGTTGAGTTTTATCAAAGTCATTTTTTCTCTTAAGTTTAAAGCATTCACTGATCAGATGACCTTTTTTCTTACAATAACTACACGTAGGAAGCGACCCTATTCCAGATGATCCTTCAAAACGTCCTGGACCGAACTTAAAACCACCTTGGGATGGAGACTGGGAAATTGTGGAAGACCGAGACCCTGAACCACTCTTTTTATATGTGTCTGAATTGGTAGAATTACTGCTAGTCTGAGATCTTGATACAAAATTCTTTTTATGAGACAGAGCATAAGTATCAGATATGACTGCTGCCTCTTCAAGAGTTTTCACATTCTTATCTTCTAAATGTGTTTTCAAATCTTGAGAAACACATTCCTTAAACTCTTCTACCAGGATGACTTGGCGCAAATTAGCAAAAGTTTTATCAAGTTTCTTAGATCTAAACCAGTGATCGAATAAATCTTCTTTCTCTCGTGAAAATTCAACAAATGTTTGATTATCAAACTTTCTATACTTTCTGAACTTTTGTCTATACGCTTCAGGTACTAATTCATATGCTTTTAATATTGCTTCTTTGACCTTCTCATAGTCTGAACTCTCAACTACCCCTAATGCAGAGTATACCTCAGCCGCTTTTCCAACCAGTACACTTTGTAACATCGTTGACCAAACATTCCGTGACCATTTAAGATTCTCTGCGACCTTTTCGAATTGGGGGAAATATTTGTCTACAGATTTTTCTTGAAATTTTGGAACTAATCTGATATTTTTTGCTGCGTCAAATTCAGTTTTGACAATTGACGGTTCTGGTTTGTGCTGTAATTTTAATTTCTCTAACTCAAAATGCTCTTGTCTTTCTAATTTTTCTAATTCAAATTTTCGTTCACGCTCTCGTTCTTCTTTTTCTCTTTCTCGCTCTTCTCTTTCCCTTTCTCGATCTTCTCTTTCTAATTTTTCTCTTTCAAGTCGCATTTTCTCTAACTCTAACTGAAACTGATATTCTGCCATTTTATAAGAGCCTAACTCTGATTTAAATGTATATTCTGGAAGATCGTATTTTTCAAAGACGTTTTCTTCTACTAATTTGTTTGCAACCTTTATTCTAATATCTTGCTTTTTCTGAGAGGATTTAACATCTAACCCAAGCAAACCTAATGCGATCAAGTCATCCTTTTTTAACGTATCAAAAACCTGAACACTTGGTGAACTAAGAAAGTCTGTGACCGAAAACACCATGTTGATTTCTGCTGGCTTATAATCAAATTTAACGGTTCAATAAACAAAATTCTGACAATAAACTGCAAAAGTGCAAGAAATTCTTTATCCCGGACGAGCCCCCAATTCTGTTATGGGTCAGAATTACCCGAAATGCCAGCAAAGATCAATAACACAATTTAAACTTAACAATAATTTATTTACTGTAATATATAATAAATATATCAAACATAAAGTACAAACTTAGCAAGAATTTAAAAATACATACATCAGAGTGTCCGTTGCTGCACACAATGTCCCAGTGAAAATATATCCCATTTATATCTCAATAGTGCTTGTACGACAAAGTATATATATGCATCGAATTGACAGGGTATTTATATAGTATCATAAATCTAGAATATTCTAGAAATTATGTGAACCCTCAGATATCCGGACGCCAGATATCCGGATGCTTCAGTATCCGGACGATTTTTCATCGGAACGAAATTTGTAAATGTAATTTTGTCTTGTTTAACTGGTGATTCAGATATCCGGATGCTTCACATATCCGGACAAATTGACTGGGAACCAAAGTGTCCGGATAAATGAGGGTCCACTGTATATGCATCGAATTGACAGGGTATTTATATAGTATCATAAATCTAGAATATTCTAGAAATTATTAAAACATGATATTACTGGAACAATCTGGACATACACAAAATTTAAGAATGTTCTAGATCAAATGACCGAACATGTTGACCACTCTGGAATGTTCAAGAAACTTAATGTTACTAATAATATACATGATGAAACAATACAAATACAACACAACTCACAACAACGTATATTTGTTTTGTGTGATTTAAAGAAATCTCTTCTTAATTTCTCAACATTTGCTATTCCAAAATTTATAATTTTAACTAGATCTGATTTTTTTTTCAGGTATATGCGAGCCAATGGACGATCCTAAATGTTTAAAAATCAACGAAGCCGTTACATGTTTGTGAGGTGTAAATCAATATTCTATAGACTTTTATTATTATAATATATTATTTTAAAAGCAGGGGTAAAATAGTTATATTTAAGTTACAATTGTGATCTTTTAGGTGTTACTTTTTAATATTTGCTTACTTATTTTTTTTTCATTATTGAATGACTTTGCATTTTGCTTCAGCGATAATAAAAGCACTTTATATAAGTCCTGTTTATCATTGTCATTATCATGGCGTTCTTGTGTTGTTGTTGTTTTTTTTTTCTAAACATAAGAACGTTTCTGACACAGAAATATCCAATAATTAACCCCCCCCCAAAAAAAAAAAAAACAACAACAAAAAAATATTGACTGTGGTTGGTATTTTTACATTCCATAAAACAAGTAAAATCTAAAGCATTTGGAAAAATATTTATTTTCCATTTATTAACAAATTTGATAAAAATAAATAAATAGGTGTATAAATATAACAAAAGACAAAATACTAAAACAAGCGTATAAAATACAATATCAGAATCTGGATTTTCATGGGTTGGCTAACTTCTAGTGTGAGATCCATCAAAATGATGTCCTGAAAATAAAGTGAGGATACAGGTGTAATTTCATTGAGAAAACAGAATCTACACTATTACAGGTAAGATTACTTTCATTCCAAAGTTAAGCGGGAAATAATAAAATCTGGATTACAAATATTTAAGTAAAAGAGAATGTTTATATGAATAAGTAATTATAAATTGGTTTCAATTCTGATCATTGTTTGAGCATCATTTTTTGAGTAAAATACAACTATAAATACATGTGTAAATACCTTTATGATCTTTTGGTTCATCGTAACCTTTTTGTGCTACGTGCAGGGCTTGACCTTTTCTTCGTACCTGTAAAACATTTAGTTTCAGCATTTTGTAATTCTTCATTTGATGTTTAATTTTGACGTGCATATCATAATGCATATATATAATGAAAACGTCACTGACTATGATTATTGGCAAAAACGCTTTGCCAGAACTAAGGGTCAATTTCTGTATAAATAAAAATTGAAATTAATTATTATGTACAGGGTTCTAAACTTTTGCTAAGTAAATACATTATAAATAACGAAATCGTCACTCATGGAAACATGCATGTACGTCATCAAAAACAAGGGAAAGTTTATTTTCGTCACTAAATATCTGTCAACCTGCTTGACCTTGGGCTGTATTTTAACTTTTTTCCTATTTACTATACGTACGTTTTACTTAGAGATATTTTTATACATTTATTTTGAATTTAAAATGAATTTTTTTCTGAATTTCAAAGCGTCTGCTGCTAGGCTGCGTAAATTATTCGAATAAAGTTGAATGCATGGAACTATCTGTTAACTGATAAAATATAGTCTAGATATTACGAAAACTATAAAGAATAAAACTTCATTTACTTTATAAAATTATGCTAAACAAATGTCCCTCAAAAAATGTCATTGACAAGAAAAAAATTACTAAATTTTATATCGCTTAAAATTAAAGGAAATGGGATATGCATTCTTAAATGTATTTATAATGTATACATGAATAAAGAAGAGATATATTGTGTATAATTGTTTCGGTCAAATAAATTTTTATTATTATTACAGTATTGAGATGAGGTGATCAGTTATATTATTGATGGCGGATTTCGTTAAAACATGTTATTTTGTACAAATCTAAGGCAGCTAGAACACACTATGCAGAGAAAAGAAGTCATTAAAAATGTATTTGGCGAAATTAATCTACTCACGCTTTCCAGGCTTCGCAGGCGTTCTTATATCTCTTGGCCCCGTCCAGGGTACAATAGGGACTGTTTATATCAGGGCACCGGAAGTTCTCCCGATTCTTTAAGTCCTTTGGTAACAGCGGTTGTGATGAATGCATTTGAAGACCTATGAATAGAGAGAAGAGTATAGACTAGTATATCCGAGTTTTGTGCCTACCCATTCTTGAACTGTCATAATGTGTTAAGCAGCAAATAATTAAAGTAAATTAGTAAATTAATGAAATTATATTTTTATAATTAATAATTTGAAAGAAATAATTCTCACTTGAAAAAAGAATACAAGCAATTAATGCAATGTGTATCAGCTTCATCTTCGACGATTTATAACAAATTTCTGGTTTTCTTTCTCTATTTATACTATGTCCAAGTCATCTGATTAATTAACATAAATGGGTTATGCATGAATTGCATGTTCATCGTAACACCGGTTTTGTGGCTACCTTGCGTAATTCAAAAATCCCCATTCCTTCCTGAGCTGTAAATAGGTCAGTGCAAATAGTCCTCTTAATAAATTTATGCGTCCATTCTGTGAAAAGTTTAATTAATTCCACCAATCATGTAACACATGCAGGATTGTCCTCAGCTTTTTAGAGGTTATATGGGATTAAAAAGTCACACATGTAGTAAATAAAGGAGTAAATATTTACCGACTTTATTAATTATTTGAGGAAGTTCAGTCACTTAGGTTATTTCCACATATACATCATCAAAACAGGTTTGATACCATTCCTTTGTCATGAGTAAATAAACAACTTTAAAACGTACATCATCTAATTCGAACGGGATTTATAATAATTTATAATTCCTTCACAAAAATGTGGGGATTTAAACATAGGATTTTGAACACAAAAATTGATATATTTTAAGAAACACCGCATATTTTCTTAACTTCTTTTGTTGACAAACCTGATTTGTAACAAAATATGAACGTAATAAAAAAAAATATGCCACCGACTTTACAAACTTTATCTTTCCTGAGCTCCACTCATCAAAAAATGTAATGTGTCTATCCCAAAAGAATTTCTTACAAAATAAAAATGCCCACAATTTTTATCAAATCTTTCGGAGCAAAATTTGACGGGAATGTTTAAGACTGTAAAATCTGTGTCTTTTGAATTCAGCGAAACTTTATTTATTTAGAATGTTGATTGTACAATGACAATTCAGCAACTGAACTTGTACAGTCAACATGTGAACATGAACAACAAAGAAGATTTACAATATATGTATATTGTATCACAGTACTAATAGATCAATTTGTTTAAAAACATTTCTGTTCTAAGGAACTCTGTAGTTCAAGTTTAAATGATTCAATACATATAAAATATAGATTCAAATGAACATTGCTAGCATATTCATCTGTATTTCTTTCTAAAAATAAAAAGAGGAATACAATGTGCTTAAATTATAGAAGTCGATTCATCATGGTCATCATTAGTGCAGAAATTACAATCATGCATTTATAAAAACTATACAATCAACCAGCTTCAATTTCAAAGTTTATAATAACAAATGGAAAATTAAATTTACACAAATCTAAGTTCAATTGGTAACATGGTCAGATATCAATGTCATATTAATTTTGTACTTTATATATGTAAGGTATTTTAGAAAATATTTCACATTCTAACCTTGGATAAAACTACAAAACGCTTAATTTATTCTTAATTAACATAACTATCATGCATGAATAAAAATCAACATTCTGAGCATTCCACATTGAATCCAAATTACATTGCAAATGCTAAATATTCTTTTCATGTGACGATATGTATGAATATGCAATTTAATGTAATTTGATTATCTCTGTTTCGAACACACAAAAAGCTTTGTAAGAAACCATCAATTGTATGTGGAATTTTATCCAATTCTGGAAAGAAAAAAAAACAATCACAATGAAGTCCTCGAGAATATTTTAAAATGAATCTTTTTAAATAATTTTCTGAAGACTTTTAAAAATGTTGCAGTTTTTAAAATCTCACGACATGGTGTCAAAAAGTTGCAGTTGCCTACCAATTGGTTATGATGGCATATTTCTGTCCCTTCGAGCCAATTTGAAATCATTTTTCTATTGATTATGTTGACTTGCAAAATGCAAACAATTGTGCACATACCACGAAACAATATCAAACATGCAAGAAAAATGTTTACTTTATCAAATTGAAAGAATTTGTTTGTTTGGGGTTTTTTGGCAAATATTGCAAACATGTGATTAATCATGCAATAAATTTATTTTGACCTGCAGCTTAAGTCTATATCTCTTTTATCATGTGTCAACCCATAATAATTACACTACAACTATTATATACACATGTAACTACTCGTGTTGATGTATTTTTGAGAAGTTGATGCTGATTTAAATGCTAGTAATGCTGATCTATCAGACAACTCTAAATAAGTCTGCAATCATGTTCATTTAAAGCAGAGTCTAAACTTTCTTTAGTGTTTTAACTGGTTTTATGTTTAGCCAAAACTACACCGTAGCAATGATATAAGTTGATAAACAGTAATCTAATTTTCCATTATATTTACAATAACCAAGCTGATAAGCAGATACTACGTACTGGGAACCATATTGTGTATGGTACAAATCTTAAAATGTCTTTTACTTGAAAACTTAGTATATTATATGAGTTTTTCCTTTAAGTTTTCTCATATTGTTTTACTCATTTATGTAGAAATGATGGATATATAAGCAACTTAACAAAAAGCATTGGCAGAGTTTCAGTTAAACCTATGATCAGTAAGATATTTTTTTTCAAAATTTTGGGGGTTACCTTTCTCTAAACTATACAAACACAGATGTTTAAATTAAAGTTTTAACATTATACAGACCAATATACATTGTCATCATCTAGGAAATTATAGGACTAGACTTGTATTAATGACAGTTCAATATCTAGGACCCAATTAAATATTGAATATCTATAAAGTGTAATGTAACCATGTGTAATTCCATTTACCCAACATGAATATACCTTTGAACACTGACTCATGATGGTTCGTCATCGACCCAGTATGTAATTAAACACAGCATCTGGGGTCGATTTTGTTCTAACGAAGACCAAAAAGACAATGGAAGTAAATATTGACACAGATATTCATTGTGCATAATTATGTAACTTAAAACCACCACATCAATATCATTCTGTCATTAAACAATTGATGTAAATATGACACTACATGTAACAAAAACCAGAAGTCACTGTCGAGATTGTAGCTCTACTGGTTTGTACTTATAACAGAGGAAGAGAAGACTACTAGCCATTGGAACTTGAAACTTAATAACAGCAATAAATATAATAATGATTCTTCATTAAGTTTCTTTTTGGGACAAATTCACACCGAAACTGTGGGAGAAGTAGTATTTTGAAAGTATATCATAAAGGAATTTCACAGAAATTTCTATTTTTAGTACCGGTTACTATGGCAACATCGTTTATTGATGTAATAAATTATGCATTTTAGTATAGTTTAGTTTTGTGTACTAAGTTTTATTGAAATCAGACCAAAACTGTGGGAGAAGTAGCATTTTCAAAGTATTTCACAATCATTTCTATTATTAGTAAATGGCAACACCATTCATCGAAAACCGATGCACTAGATTATGTACCTTGTCTTGTCTACTTGTGTGCCAAAATTATATTGAAATCAGATCAAAACTGTGAGAGGAGTAGCATTTTGAAAAATTGTTTACAGGACGGAAAGACAGACAGACAGACAGACAGCTGGGCAGACGACAGACACCTTACTATCGCATGAGCTCTTATGGTCTCTGACCAGTAGAGCTAAAAACTACAGGACCAATTTGTATAAAGTATTTGGAGAGAAAATGAAGAGACTGCCATTTTATAGAGTCTAGTTATTTTCAAAGAACATGAACAAACACAAAAAATACCAACTGAATTAGTAAATACCAACATTGTGCACAATATTAACTACTTGTTATCCAAAATTATGCATAAATGAAACCTTCGTTTCGTGGCGCATTGTCTCTATTAATGGCACAGTCTACGTTTATTTCCCCAATGCTGCCTGCAGCATAATGGAGAGAGACACAACAATACTGAACAACAGGTAAACAACAAAGAACACTCTGTCTAGGGCCACAGCGACAGAGGACCAGTCAAGACTCTCTGGTTCCCTCTCCTGTTTGGCGAGGATAGAGGCACTACACTCCCTTATTTCCTTCAATATTTCCAGTAATTGTCCCTCAAACCCCACAGTAAGAGGCTGCTGTTGTTTTTGGCTTTCATTGTCTATATATTGACGTCGCTTACATTCTTCTGGGTAAGGAAAATGGAAAATGTTTCCTTTTCTTTTATAACGTTCGATGTACAAGTTATCCTGAAATAACAGATCATATACATGAAAATTACTCTTTTTTCCTTTCACTGAGTGATTGATATATATACTATATGCTTGATTTACAGGTAGATTTTCTGCAATAAATTTAGCAACATTGCAGCATCTATCAAAATGAAACTAATAAACCCGATTTTGAAAAGGTATAGTTGTTTTGGCGCAATGAAACATGGTGATCTGTTTCTTTTGATACAAGTACATGCATTGGAGATACATATATTTCATAAAAAATTCTGCACATACCGCGGTATATGTGCTGAATTTTAAAGTCAACATATACTGCAGAGTTATAATTTGTAGCTTAAAAACTGGATTGGTACCTTTATATTTTTTTGTACAATTCAGAAGTGCAACAAGTTAATACGATTTTGGGACTCGATAGAAGATTTACGTTAATTTAAATACTCTTTAAACATTCAAAAATATTCATATTAAAATATTTCAGTTACGTTTTTATCGTGGTCGTACTGCGCATGTACACACGTTATCGTCTGCAATGGCCTGATGACGTATTTCCTAACTGTTGAGGACACGTGACCGCTCTTCTTGTAATGTATGTTGAGAACTAACACTGTCATAAGACAGGACAGACCAACCAAGATCATCGACACGAGAAAGTAAATAGCTGAAAAGGAAGAGTAGGATTGTTACTGCAAGGAAAATCTCCTCTATATTTTCTCTGAGTCGATTAAATTTAAAATGGTATCATAAAAAGTTTTCATTCGTTTAGATTTCCTCCATTCAGACTACATGCAAATTTGGAAAAATGGGGCTAATACAGCTAATGCAAAATTCCTTTCCTTTAAGGTTTTATATATGATTAATGATTAATTCCAAATGCGAGGGCGAAATCGTAATAAATGAGTTCAGAAGAGAAGAGGAGTATTAATGGATATATCGAGCTTTAGAATCCATGGAAAACAAACCTAATAAAGGTGGATTTTCTCCTGACGCCGGAATCATGTTTACGATGACCAGCTGGAAAACTGCCAGGGATAGAAGGACAGTGATCTCCAGATTGACCTTCTCTCCGGCTTCAGGGGGCAGGATAAAGCCAAGACCGGCCATAAAGGACACCAAGAAGCACGGAAATAACAGGTTCATCACGTAGAACAAAGGTTTCCTCTTTAACCCCAAGATACACTCCATTGTTGGATAGGATACATTACTGTAATAGGTGATAACACTGGAGGCGTCAGCTCTCGTGACGTCCCATTCCGTGTTGTTGACGTAACTAGACATATCCAGGGTGGAACTTTTGTTGACGATGTGCACCTCTGCGCCAGTGTAGATCCACGACCCAAATACCAGGCGACATTCCTGGGTATCAAACGGAAAGTGATAGACGTCGATTGCACATGACGTCCGGACGCTAGAGGGAAACTGATATTGTACCCGGCCATTGCTGTTGACGACGGCTCTATAGTCCTTCATCCCCGGTAGTCCCTTCACGTCAGTTCTGAAAGAAAACAATTACATGTATCATGTAGAAATATTTCTCTGCGTATATGCTGATGTTTTTTGCTTCTGTCTTGTGGTCCCAGAATCTGGAAACAAACTTGGTCTTCCGTCAAAATTTTGATAATCTACACTTTTTGTATGCGTAGCTACATGTATTATCAACTTCAGCTTAAAATGTGATAATGACATCACAGACAAGGCTCACTTTCACATGCCTGTAGGAGACGGGGAATGGGTAGCACCCCTTCCCATAATATTGCTTGTATACATACTGTTCATTTCATAGAATGAAAATGAATTGGAGCTAAGTTACAGTTATGCGCCCTTAATAATATTACGCTTTATGATTTTTATGTGCCCGAATCGAAAGATCCGAGGCGTATATTGTTTTTGTCCTGTCTGTTTGTCTGCAAACTTTAACCTTCGCCATAACTTTTGAACCATGAATGAAATAGAGTTCATATTTGGTATGCCTACCCACTAATGAAGCTCTTTCAAATGACACCAATGTCAATGACCTTGTGACCTTGACTGTGACCTATAGGCTAAAAATAGGTTTTTTGCAAACTTTAACATTTGCCATAACTTTGGAACCATAAAAGATAGAGACTTCATATTTGGTATACATACAACACTTATTAAGCTTTTTAAAAAGACACCATGTGACCTTGACTGTGACCTATACGCTAAATATAGCTTTATTGACGGCAAACTTTAACCTTCGCCATAACTTTTGAACGAACAAAGAGAGACTGAATATATGGCATGCACACTCCACTATTGAGCCCTTTCGCATGACACCAAGGTCAATGACCCTGTGACCTTGACTCTGTCTTATATGCTAAAAATAGCTTTTTTGAACCTTCACCATAACTTTTGAACCATGAAAGATATAGACTTCATTTTTAGTATGCATACTTCATTGATCAATATCTTTCAAACGACACCAAAATCAATGACTTGGTGACCTTGAATGTGACCTTTATGCTAAAAATATGTTTTTTTAATATTTGTTGCCGTCGGGCGCATACTGTTTCACAAACACATCTTGTTTAAAGGTACAAGTTGCTCCTCCCTCCAGTTAACATTGTTAGATTGTCCCAGTTAACATTGTTAGGTTGTCCCCACTCCGAACTGAAATTCTTAAACGTTCTTTCTATAATCATTTTTATCCTGCCCAGTTTGGCTTAAAACTAAATCATTTTAGCGCAATATGAAACTTCCCGTTAAGATTTCTGACTAACTTGTTTCCTGATCCTGGGTCTTGGTCTAAGAACTTCCTTGCTTTACTACAAGTATATCAGTATATAACATGTTAATGGTATTTCTGTTTATATTTTTAATATGTATAAAATGATTTATGTACATATGACAGCAGTGAGTAGGTAAGGAAGCAATATGCTCTCTTTCTCTCTCTCTCTCTCTCTGATATCATACGTGTCGTAGAGGGTGAGATCGGGAATCCAGATTTTGTCCTGTGGGACAGCCAGCCTGTCTATTCCGCTATAGTGCGACTTATTCCACCTTAACCTGCAGTCGACCCAATCCTGAAATGAACGCAGTGCTGACTGTACTTTTCACTAGATGACAATTTAAAAACAATTTGATTAATTCACCGAAATGTTGATTTTATCTCTGAAGGCGAGCGTGGGATTCCTCGTTAGTTTTGTCAGAATTTTGAAGTTCGGAGATAATTAATTTTACAGGTAACTTGTAGACATTGAGTGCATTATCTGTATACAGACATGGACTTTATCATTAAAAGCATTACCACTCTCATCCATGCCGTCACGTCAATGGTCTGTTTAGGCTCATTCTGAAACATCAAATATATTAATTAATATAAATTCTCTTCTTCATCTTATTCTTTTATTATCAATAAAAATTATTGTTGACAATGAAGACAATATATTTGATGCTATATTTGACTTCCTTCCTATCTAAGCATATTAAATCAAAGCATATATTTTTTGTTTATCCCACTCACCCACCAATCGAAGAGTATTAAAATAAATCATGCTATGGTACAATACAGTACCTAGGTTTCAAACAGTGTAAGGATCCGCAATTTTTAAGTCAAACGTATAAACGAAGGAAATGTTGCCATATAAATTTAGGTTTGTTGCAACCGGGGCTCGAACTCATAACCTACCAACCGGGGCTCGAACCCATAACCTACCAACCGGGGCTAGAACCCATAACCTACCAACCGGGGCTCGAACCCATATCCTTCCAGCTGTAGCAAACTCCACAACTCTTCTTGATACTTTTGCCTTATACCAGTTTTAGTGCGAAGTGTAACGATGACAAACATTGTAAAGAAACTACTAAATACAAGTATGTATAGTTGAACAAAGTTGAGATTGTTTTACAGACACTGAGTGTAACAGATGCTTTACCAGATCTACCAGCTGTCTGACCCCCAGGTCTATAGTGACCACTACAGGGGAGTCCCGTATGTCGTCACAGTACGGCCGCACCTCCCTCTTATAGGACTGAAACACCGCGGTCACGAGGTCGTCCAGGAGATACGAAAATCCTACTGAAAAATATAAAATAGGTATCACCCACAATTACGCATTTCACTGAAAACTGACATCCGTCTATCGATGGGCCCTATCGATGTCGTGTACGTACCATGGTTTCCAAACAAACTGCATGTTACATGGGGACATTGATAATATAGAACAGCTAACTACATAAAAATCCACCTAATAAAAATTTCAACCTCAAACAAAAATAATCATGCTGCAGATAAGGAGTGGAAATCAAGGAAACAAAGAAACATATTTTCAGTTAACGGTTTTTCTTTTTAAATTCAAATTGAATTAAATTCATTATAAGTGTTATATATACATTTATATGTTAGTATGCAATATTTGTACCCCAAGATCACATTAAAGAACAGGGTACAGTTTCAATACAAATTAAGCCCTGTAATTTTCCAAAATATGAAATATGAAAGTGATATAAGAAATTAAAATTCATTCTTTTTGATCATTGGAAATCCATGCAGTAAGAATACACAAATCATTTGTCTCAAATGACCTCCCGAATGCTAATTTTGACGTCATTAATTTGTGCATTTTCCCGTGTTTTCTTAAAAAGTTGCAGAAGACTTCAATTTTCAGTGGAATTTCCTTTCAGAAAAAATACTTTGCCACCATCGTCCACAAAGATTTTGAGATATGTGATTTTTCATAGCAGTTTACATAATATATCAAAAAATTGAAGTGGGCGACGGTGGCAGACACTGTTCTCTAAAAGAAAATAAACGCAGAAATAAATCATTTTGAGGCGTTTTTGCATTAAACTTAGAAATAAACCAAATTAATGACGTCATATTTCCAGAACGATCCTCCTTCATGTCATATTCATTAATAATCTATCATATTCATCTACTCAACTCTTGTTAAAGCCAATTTTACAACTTTTTAAGAACATTAAATTTTTAGGGCACAAAAAAGCCCAAACTGTACCTTCTTCTTGCTATCAGAGGTGGGAGTCAAGAAAACCACATCGCTACTGGTTATCTAACAACAAAGCTCTATGACAAAGGTATCGACTTTAACAACTTTTCAATCCCCAACTTCCCTTACTTATGAAGCAATATACCTTTCTACGTAAGAATTTTTTTTTAAAACGAGGTGAGTTATTGACAAACAAGTTGAAGAATATCAGCAGTCTCGTTTAAAGTCATCATTTCGTATGTTCTATGGGCGATACAATTACCTTGTTAGCAAATATAAATACAATTTATCATTATGTCAATTGCAGACCGACTTATTCCTTCTGATTGTTTGACCATTATTCACAACTCATCCATCGATTTTTCCGTTTTACCCCTAAACATGACAAGAAGCACACAGTGGGTGTGAGCAGGGATGCTCACTCCTCCATGGCACCTGATCCCAACTCCGCTCCTTTTTTGTATTGTTTAATTGACTTTTGAGCTCGAATACACTTCGTTATCTCCACATATTTCACTGGATATTTAGACAGGAAATAAATACTAGTGTATACTTTTAGGTATATAGTATGGATACAATGTATCACTGGCATGGTCAAACAATTTAACCAGCTATAGCTGCAGCCGTACACCGGGCAACAAAGAAAAACTGTTGAAAAATCCGAATACGTGTATACATGTAATTTTTAAGAAGATTGTTTTGAAAGAAAAGGAAAAAAATTAGGAAACACGTTACATGTATTACGGGAATAAAATATTCTCGAAACTGTACTCACCAGAGGCGTAGAGCTGAAAGAAGAAAACAACACACCAAATTCGGATACCTTCCATGTCTAAGAATTAGTTTGTGTGATTGGTCTTAATTCCTGGCGAATCGATTGTAATCCATGTCAGCAAATAAAAATAAATTAACAAAGCCCTCGATGATTGAATTTGTGTAAATTTTTAGTAGCATAAATATATGGATGGTAAATTATACGTCTGTGTGGTCAGTACCTGGGACAAAAATAGCACAGGTTTTAATTTATCATGTGTACATTAGGATCTCCATCATAAAAAATAAATTAGATTAAGGCTTATCGTTGACGAATATAATTTTTCCAAGCAGTTCGTGTCCTTTAATTTAGGAATAAGGATAATAGAACACCTTCACTACTCGCAAAACAGAAGGTACTATTTATAACCGTGTTTTTCACAATCAACCTTCTAAACGAAATGAAATCAATGGCCTCTATAATTCTTGTGCACATTTGACGGATTAAACATCGATTACATGAATAGTTTTTTCTCGCTAATCAATATACCGTTTATTGACATAGGCCATCTTCTCTTATGTTAGATCTCTTTTGCAACCATAATGATTCGGGGATAAATTAATTAGGCTGATACGTGAAGTTACGATTGCAGTTGTGGATTCGACAAAGGGGTGGAAGTTAGGGGACCGAACCCTCCAGGGATTATTGTACTAACTTAAAGGAATAAAGAACATGACTTTGGACCCCTCACCCACCCCCTCCTACACATCGACCCCTACACATTTTAAAGAGGATCATGTGTAAAGGAAAGCAACAGCTATAGGGAACCCCCAGAAGCCAGTCTTTTTATTATCATGGTCATTGCAAGTTCCCGGTGTGCGCATGGTTATTATTAAAATTGGAAGGCATTATACGAGGGCTGTTCAAAAAATAATGTTCTCGGTGTTCGGAAAGAGACAAAAAACGCTTTTCAAGGATTTAGTCTTAATGATTTCACTTACACTGTAATTATTCTCTTTTAATGAAAACACATGTCCGTAACATTTTTATCCAATTTCTGATTGTTTTTAGAACACTTTCTTGAGTATGACCCTTCTTATACTGCAATTTGGCGGATCCTATGATTTCCTTAACTTCTTTCTTCTTAATTCCTAATTTTTTTTTCAAGTTTGGAAAATCAAACAACTTACTGTGAAACTACTGTATGTGACGAAAAGTGGTTACAAAAAAATGCAGTTCGTTAAAGATTAAGTCATGATATAAAACTAATCAAACTGAATGTCATATGATTTCTATATTGTATGTCATACAGCTCTGGACATTATTTGTTGAACAGCCCTCGTAACTGACTACGATCATGCGTATGAATGGCTGAAAAAGTCGTGCAATGACGATGAAGCGATGGCGAGATAATGCGATGACGATGGTACGATAGCACGATGAAGCGATGGTGCTATGACGCGATGGTGCGATAGCGATGACACTATGGTGCGATAACGATGGCGCGATGGTACGATGACGATGAAGCGATATTCACTTTTACTCTATCGTTCTATCGCGCCATCGTCATTGCATTATCGCGCCATCGCATCATCGTCATCGCGCTATCGCACCATACCTCTATCGTCATCGCACCATCGCTTCATCGTTATCGCGCCATCGCATTATCGCGCCATCGACCAATAAGTCGATGCTCGATGGTGCGATAGTAAACTGCATGGCCCTATCCGGATTCCATAAAAAACAAAACACAAACATATGGAACGCCATGGCTGCCTTATGTTAGCTGACTTTATTATGCTGTGGGTTTGTAATTATATGCTGTGGGTTCGTAATTATATGCTGTGGGTCTTTAATTATATGCTGTGGTTCTATAATTATATGCTGTGGGTTTATAATTATATGCTGTGGGTCTATTATTATATGCTGTGGATGTATTATTATATGCTGTGGGTTTATAATTATATGCTGTGGGTCTATTATTATATGCTGTGGTTGCATTATTATATGCTGTGGTTTCGTTATTATATGCTGTGGTTTCATTATTATATGCTGTGGGTTCATAATTATATGCTGTGGGTGTATTATTATATATTCTGTCGGTTTATTAGAAACTAGGTTTTCGAATCCGGACTTCTCGTTTTTGGAGTTTACTTGCTCAAAACGGCGGCAACTGCAACAGGGCTTACCGTAATAGGAATGAGAGTACCAAATCCCCGGATGAGCACATTGCTTTATTTGTGGTGCCACAAATAAAGCCATCTGCTCATCCGGGGATTTAAATTGGTACTCTCATTGCTAGCAACTACGTTAGTCCAAATTCCTTGAATACGCATGCTCGTCGTGCATTCCGGGAAAATTGTGAAAACTACCATAGGCCGGTAGACCGTACGATAACAATTTCGTTGTATCATTAAATAACTTTGTTTATTTATTGTGTAGTTTACACTCTAAAGATAACTGCATAATTGTAATTCTTCAAATTTTCCCTTTTTTCTGACGGAAAAGCCCGAGTCACTAACTCATTGTTCTAAACAAAGACAAGGGAGGTTTTTTGCTAGCGATCGGCTTCACGGTCGGGCATTCTGGGAAAACTTCACACGTAGCTGTCTGTGAAAACGACCATTGATAGACTGTCCGATAACAATTTCATTGTGTCATTGAGTAGAACGGGTCTTTTCTGGTTGATTCTGAAGTTTGTTTATTTACAGTGTAACTTACACTTTAATGTAAACTACACAAGAAAAAACTTACGTCATATACGTAATGCAAACATTCTAGACATCTAGCTTGTGAGTTCTACCACCTTCCTGGATAATGCCGTCAACCTCATAAAAAATCTCTTTTTTTTCTTTTCAAAGTTTATTGAATTGGCAAGACACAATAAGCGATTGATACTTCCACACTAATATAATTTTAATTCTATAAAATACACTTCACAAAAGATTATACCTCTAACAATCAGACTCCATACTCATTAAACATTAAAGACTTCGGCAAAATAAATTAGTTAACCACGAACCTTCCCTTCGGCGCTAGCTCACCTATCTTTTTTTTAAAAAATAAACTTGTTCCTAGTACGGTTAGGCCTGTTGCAGTTACCGCCAATTTTGAGCAAGTATAACCTCCAAAAACGAGAAGTCCTAATTCAAAAAGCTAGTTTCTAATACACCGAGAGATTATATGATAATGCACCCACAGCATATAATTATGAACCTACAGCATATAATAAAGAAACCACAGCATATAATTATGAACCCACAGCATATAATAATGAACCCACAGCATATAATAACGAAACCACAGCATATAATTATAAACCCACAGCATATTATCATAAACCCAC